TGCTGTCTATGGGAGGGTCAGAGAGCCCTCAGATTTCATCAAAAATATCTTAAATTGTGTTCCGAAGATAAATTAAGGTCTTACGGGTTTCGAACAACACGAGGGTGAGCAATTAATGACAACATTTTCATTTTTGGGTGAAATAACCCTTTAAGTATGATTGATTAAATTTGACATTTGGTTGTATTTTATAAAGATCAAGAAGGCCTTTCATAAATGTATCTCTGCTGTTGGTCACAGATAGTTTTGTTTCTGTGAGTTAAAGACAGAGGAAGACTGTAGTGCATAGACCAAACACAAAGACTGAGCACATGCAACAGAAAACACCTATATATGTTTAACATCACAGTGAGAGACAGTGTCTAGCCTGGAACTCAGAACAGGTGGTGTTTGATAAGTGTTAAACTGTGAAATGTGTTAGATGGTCTGCCTTATAGAAAGGCTATTATAGTATACATAAAAAAGAGCCAAAATTATTATATTACCACTGTTTTAGAAGTTAAAGCAGAAGCCACTCAAAAGAGAGAGATCTAAAAAAAGGTCTCCATAGGAGATGTTGTGTTCATATATGTTTTACTTCTTCATGCTGAAACTGGGGCTGAAGTTGCTTCATACTCACATTTGGTAGAGGTAGCCACTGAGTTGTTTGGTTTTCATGCTTTGTGTTATTGTAAAAGTTTATTGTCATGCTTCTGCTGGCATGCGGTGCAGCATAGCCTCCAGAGTACAGCATGCCAAAGTTTACTGTGTTGTGCTTAAGGACAGCGCTCTGATTGCAGGGAAACAACCACATGACATGAGTGAATGGGTGTGGCACACAGAAAGGTCAAAAGGCTGTGGCTGGGGATACACTGGACTGCACATTGCTGTAACAGAGTGAGTAAGCTTGACAAACAGAACAACAACAGTACGTCATTACTGCCCACGTGACACATTAGTGATCCACAGCGGTTACATTTACATAAAATAGCAGCAGTGTGGGACTAATTTCTGTGAACAATGAAGTATGCTGTAGTACTGTATTCCACTTACACAGAAACAAAGGCTCACCACCAATGGTGCATGTACATAACTGGGTAAATCTCAGGAAAGAAATTTCAGGGTTATATTCCACCCCAATAAAAAAAAAAAAAACATATTTTGCTGAAAGAATTTGAAGCCATTTGAGGATTTTTGGTATTGTGACGATTAATTTCAGGTCAATTAATTTTCCTTCATAATTATCATCACCGTAAAAGTGAGAAAAAAATCTCCTTACTTTAATGTGAAAAAAGTCATTATCATAAAGTGAAAAAAATTATAATTATATTATTATAATGTAAAAATAAATTTTGATTAAAATAAATATCGATTTTTTTTTTACTCTCAAATATAATGTTTTTGAGAAAGGGTAGAATTTGATTAAATTTGTATAAAATAATAAAATAAAAAAATGTAAAAAAAAAACACCTAAACCTTAGGCAGAATATAGTTTCCTTTTCTTTTCTTTTCTTTTCTTTTCTTTTCTTTTCTTTTCTTTTCTTTTCTTTTCTTTTCTTTTCTTTTCTTTTCTTTTGATTTTGGGGTGAAATATGTCCCAGACATTTCTTGATGGTTCACATGAGATTCACCTCACTGTTCATGAGTCTATTCACTAAAAAGCCTTAATTTAAGCTTTGTCTGTAATGTGTTATCCAAACATATTATATAAAACATTGAAGGATGTAGTCACTTAATAAGATAGTAAGATATACCTTGTTATAATAAAATCATATTAGTACATAATACAAAACTAAACTGAGAACATTGGTTATTGAGATCTCAACAATTATTAACAAATATATAATGACTTCATAAAGACAGAATAAACGAATGGTTTAAAAGAATTAAAAATTTTAAAAGAATTTATTTCTTGAAAATTCCCGAGAGGTTGTATAAAGTCCAAGCCAACAAACACTTACATAGAAGAACAAAAAGCAAAGCTTGCTTACTCACCCGGTCTAGCCTCTTGGCTTCTATGTGTCTAAGCAGCTGCTGTCTCCAATCTACTGGCATTTTGGAGGTCGGGTCCTCTTGTTTTTGAAGGACAGATCTCATCTTCATGTCTGCTTCAGGGCTCTTTTCAATGCATGTACTAAGATTGTAATCTGAAGGCAATTTCTCCAGCAGTGCAGCCATGGTGGGTCGGGCAGACACTGGCCTTGCCTGAGATGCCCCATATGTCTCTGTGCTGTAGCTCCGTGCAGACAGGGGGCGACGTTGTGTCAGACTCTTGGTGGGGTAACCCATGATTGGCTTTTTGGGTTCTTGATAAGACGAGTAATCTTCGTCATACCTACCATTCCTCTTGTGGAACTGGGTGTCAGTGATGGTAGACAAGCTGTTTTGTTGTTCCAGCATGCTCTGCTGGGGCCTGTTGTAGTGCTCTGCCAGCTGCAGCTCTTGGTTCTCAGCTAATCTTCGGAACAGCGCCATCTCTGTTGAACTTACCAGAGAGTCAGCGCGCCTCAGGAAGCCCGGCCTGGAGCGCTGAGGCTGGACTGAGAGCTGTGGATTGATGGCATCATCGGTGACTGCACTCTGAGCGAAAGAAAACATCTGTTCCACTGGTGGATAGCCTCGGTAGCCTCTCGGGCTCACAAGTTCCTTTGGCAATGTCTTCCCAGGTTGGTTTACATATTCAGGGGCATTGGGGAATGGTGGAGGAACTCTCCTCTCCGTTTTCATAACATCCATGGCTCCTTGTGGGTTGAAGCTTTGGTCAAAATGGTAAACTTTCTTTGGGATGGCAGGCTTCTGTTGCTGAGAGCTTTTCAAACCAAAGCCATCCAGATCATCGTCCAGCATTGGAACAGATTGGCTCCTTGACATGCTCTGTTCTAGAGGTACAGAGAAGTCTGCTCTATCAACACTTCCCTGGTTTTCTATGCTAGAACTGTAGCTGTCCAAGGGGATGCTGTAAACCTTGTATGACCCAGTATCGATTTCATCTATGCTCTGAGATTTCCTAAATTTCGCTTTTACCTCCTTCATCATTGGCGAAAGTCTCTCAGAACTCTTGCTAACAACCAAAGTGCCTATTTTGTTCGGTTCTTTTACACCCTGGACAAGCGAACAAATGTTGGGATGACCTCGTCCCGTCCCTGAGTCCGTAGAGTCCAGAAACCCCCAGGCTCCAGTTGAGGGAAAAGTGCCGCGTAGTTCTCCCATCTCCTGTTCGAAGTCCCTACGATCAGGATTGGGGCTGTTGGCTGGAGTAATTTCCAACTTGGAAGGGAAAGCTGTCCTGTCCTCGAATGGACTGGGAGTCCTCGTCCAGTTCTGCCAGGGGTTAGAGGCTGGAGGCACTTCAGTTTCAGGGGTGGTGCGAACAGTGTGGAAAGTGTGTTGCGACTGATCGAGCTCTAGAGGAACTCCCACAATGCGCTCTTGTCTCATGAGAGGCCGCCGGCCATGTGCCATTGAGGCACTTCGAGGCTTTGAGCCTAGCATGGGGTTTCCAGCACTGCTGCCCGGAGTGTCAAGAGGCGTCTCCTCTGCGACAAAACCCGTGTTATCATAGTGGGGGGTGTTGTTCCAGCTGTCGAAGGTATCGCTGAGTGGCCGCCTCTCACCTCGCTGCTGCAGCATGCTGGAGGGAGGTGTTTCCCTCTGGCTCAGAAGGGGCTTACTTTCAATGGGCTTCGGAAAAGACTGAGCCAGCCTGTTGATGTATTCAGACAAAATATTTTTTGATATTTTATCAGTGCACATAAAAAAGAAATGTGCAAACAAGAATATGGCCATGGACTGATATGACAAGCATATTCAATATCATAAAATTATAACTTAGACATAGGGTCAATGACATGCCACAGTTTCTGAATATATGAATTGATTCAAAAATGCATTAAATACAATTCATAAATGCAATGACTTGAATACACCACTTCTATGATTCTATGATGTTTTTAATTTTGGAATTACATTTTTTTGTTACTGACATAAAGTCAGAATATATATATATATATATATATATATGTGTGTGTGTGTGTGTGTGTATACAGTACACACACATTTTTTTGTTACAAAGTCAGATTTTTTTGCATTTAAAAAAACCCCACCAGGAACCCCTGAAGACCTTCATGTCAAGGTCAATAAGCCTTAATGTCAAAATATTAACTTTACATGCATACTTTACATGCAAAGCATTGCAATCTTAGTAACTGTCTAGTTCCTTGTTCATTCCTTCTTGGGACTCATTCTGCAACATTTGAGTACAGCCCAAATTTATTAGGCTGTCACTACCCCGACAGAACCTCATTGCTCTATATATTTTGCTTTATTTTAGTTGATGTTCACAAAATCTTTTTACTTGATGTCTTCATGTAATCTTGGGGATGAATTGTAAATTAAAATGTAATTTAACTGGGCCTACAACTCTCTTAATAAACCCCATATAGTCTAATTTATGTTTAAATTGAAAAGTCCTAAGAAAATATCGCTATGGTTGACTGAACTGCTATCCTCATCAAATAGATATTCAATGTTTATAGAATTTTGCCCATGTAATACTTCTGCAAGTTTATCAAAACTAATTTCTCAAAGAGCTCTTCTGAAGAACAGGCATTGGAAGGGGTGAAAATTTTTATTTTTTCTGCAGTACTAATATAATAAATCTTTACTGTGAGCAACAGAGAGGGATTTTCAGTTGCAGATGACAGCAAGAGCCATACTGCTGTGCGTGACTTGGAGTGAAAGAGAAATTGTGATGTGAGCAATAGAGACATTTTGAAAGAAACAAATGCCCAGATAAAGCTCACGTAGAATTGTCTTCAATTTTCTTGTTAATTAAAATGGAGAGAAATATGAAATTCAAAATGAAAACCTTCAATCTAATAAAAAAGCAAATACGGGACGCCGCCACAAAGGCACAGATTTGCAACCTATCTTACTACTAAAGTATTAAAAATATAAATGCAAACCTGTTAATAAAACAAAATATGCAACTGATAGGTTAAAACTTGCTTGAATATATTTGGATTATCAGCAGAGATGTTTATTTCAAGATGATTATTGCAAGAATATTACAGCGACACAAAGGCCAATTTTGGGCCACCCAAAAGTCAGTGAGCTGGATATGTAAACTGTTTGATCAACTGTCATGTCATATGAGTGCACAGATGGTCTATTAGTTCATATAAATGAATAGTGGCAGTGATTAAATTCTTGCCAACCTGTTAGTCCAGTGAGTCTGTGATGGCCCCTCTTTCCCAGATGTTTGCAGATTACTGACATTTCCAGGTGGGTTGGAGGAGCCAGATGATCCCTGGGAGGGTGAGTAGTCTGAATAAGTGGCAGATGATCCACTGTTGTTCAAACAATGCATTTTGTCTGGCTCAGACTCATCGGTGGACTCTGAATGCATTAAAAAAAGGTAATAGGTATAAAGGTATACAAGGTAAAATAGTTTATATGCATGAACAACAACAATTTTTGTCTAGAATAAACCCAAATTATTGTGCTTCTCTCAACAACACTGTTTCCCCAGTGCAATTACATAATGCATTTTCATAACAGATCAGTATTCTCAGAAGGATTTGAACTATAGTAATAAACATCAAAAGAGAAAGAGAATTTCTTGAAGAATGGAACTAACGTAAGATTTAGATGAATAATGTCAAAACTTAAACCTATAAAAATCCATTGTGAGTGTTGAAATGGAAGTCGCGACAAGTCTTTTCTTCTGTATTATGATGTACATCTGAGTGAAACATTATCAAAAAAAAAATTAAGGCAAGGACTTGATTTGATCTATTAGTTGTTGATTGGATGGAGACAGGTCTGAATGTGAGCTTGCAGCCAACTGTAAGGAGTTTTAGCAGACTATATAATTCTGGAATACGTCACCACTGAGACCGTTTCACTGAAAGATTGAGTTATGATATTTTTATTAAAAATGATGAGGTCAAAGAATTAATTGTTCTCAATAAGATCAACAACATGCATTTAAAAAAATAGATTTTATGCAGACTTTTACCTATCAGGCTTCTTCGTCTTACTAACCTTTTTTTTCCTTGCCCAGTAACACAACCTTTGGTTTGTACATTGGTGGCTCTACCAAAGTCGGCCTCATGTCAGAAATTCGGATATCATTAGGGGAGCCTCCCATGGAGTCCTGGAAACACAAGTGTCAAATTCGCAGTGAATTAATAATATAAAGAAATGAAGAAACACAAGGGCAGTGGGGTGTGGTTTTCCTGCAATCTTTCATTTAAATACCAAGATCGAGCAACACACATTTTATATACTAAAACTTATAAGGTAAAATCCAATTTAAGGTCACTAATAAATGTAAATCAAAATATATATTTTTTCACATGTCAACATCTATTGAAAACCAATTAACCAATTATATTGAAAACTGTTGCTAAACTAACTGCAAACAGTTTGGCTGTATGAAAATCTGTTTGCCTAATTGCATATTATATAAAACTCTATTAGGCAGGATCTTCTTTTAGTAAAACTAAGCCATTAAGACACACAGAATAAAGTTAAGTTAATGTTAAAAAAGGATCAGTAAGCTAAAACATGAAATACCTCTGCAAAGACACATTAATGCAGCTAGTATTTAGGTTCTGTAAAGCTTTTACAGTATATTGACAGTTTCATGATTCTAAAATGCAAACACGGGCCCAAAATTACCTCGAAGTTAAACAAAGCTGAAGCTGAGAAATATATTAGAAGTAACAGAGTGTGATCTCACACCTCAACATCAAGTTGAGATTCATCATTAGTAATATATACTGTTATGATTCACAGGCCTTGTCCTGGCTTGTCTGCTCAAATCCCCCAGGAGCTTCCAGCTCTCTCACAGCTGTCTATGGCAAAAGTCACACCTCTCAGACCTGACTGTACATCAGCAGGCTGGCTCACACAACCGGCAGCAGAGCAAGAGGGAAGTCATATCAGAAGATTCTCTCAGAACAGCCGCCTCTCCCCTTCTCTGCCTTCTGGTATCTTTTCACTCATCTTGTCTTTTTTCTTCATTGCTCCCTCACAACGGGTCAAAAGAAATGTGATTGTGTGAACTGATGCGGCAGGCTAAAGCTTTCATACTTCTATTAAATTAATTGTGAACAAAATTCAGCATGGGGGCCATTTGATGCATGATTTAATGTTCGAATGAACCAAAGATTTAAGGGAGCCCAATATTTGGAATAAAAGAGCTCTTATACACTACCTTTCAAAAATTGGATTCAGTAAGATTTTAAAATTATTTTTATTCAGAAAAGATACATTGACCAAAAGTGACAGTAAAGGACATTTATAATATTACAAAATATTTATATTTCAAATAAATGCTGTTGTTTTGAATCAAAGAATCCTGAAAAACAGTATCATTTCTTATTATTCTTAATAAGAAGAAATATTTTTCAGCACCAAATCAGCATATTAGAATGATTTCTGAAGGATCATGTGAGACTGAAGATTGAAGTAATGGCTGCTGGAAATTTAGCTGCGCCATCACAGGAAAAATGTGCATTTTAAAATATATTCAAATATATTATTTTATATTAAAATAGTATTTTCTTACTGTATTTTAGATTGAATAAATCTTTAGTGCGTTTGACTGTAAGAGACTCCTTTAAAAAAATTCCCCAACATAACAAAAAAATTGTTGTTTGCTTTTAAAAAACAACAAAATCTATTGAAAGTTTTTGTCACGTTTCCTCTAGAAATAAAGTTTTTTTTTTCACCCAGTCTGTGCTGCTGACTATATCTATAGTGAAAAGCATTGTGAGTAATTATAATTTTGATTTATTAATACTATTTTTTTCTTTTATAATATTTCTAATTTATTGTTTAATGTTTATTAATATATTTTAAATAAGAATACTTCTTTTAAATGTCATAGAGACAGCAATCTCTTGCTGTAATAACAAATGTAAATGACACTTCAAGGTTGGACAGTCTCCCTTTACCCTGGGTTTCGAGATAACTGAGAGACTATGACTAGAACTAGTGGGTCTCAGTTCCATCTAGCCCCCCTGTAATTCCAACACTGACGTTATGCTGGAAACGGATGGACTGGGAGTCACCAGATTTCACCTCTTTTTTTTTTTTTTTTTTTACTTCATTTAACAAATGTTTCACCCGCAATGGGGGTGTCTGAGAAAATGAATTGAATTTGCTTTGAAAGCAGTTGAAATGAGCCACCCCATATGTTCAGCTGATTTTCTGCTGTCTGGTCTCTCAGCCACTTACTATGAGGCAGAAACAGGAAGAGGAAGTAACGGCCAGGCTCGTATTCTCTGGCTGTTGAGGCTTGGGAACGACGCGATGTAAAGAAATCTAAGCAAAACAAACATACATACATATATACAAACAAACAAAAATGGATTCTCATGGTCTAGAAAGAAAAGAATGTGTAAGAAACATGAGGTTTATGGCACTGGTACTCCCAAGGTCCCGATAACCCTGATAATAATAAGAATATTTGTAGCTCCTCAGTTTGGCTGGGGGTCTCTGAGACCATGGGGGAAAGCAGTGTGAGGCCAAGCTGCAATGGACACAATACACCATGCACTTGTATGCTATTCTAAACAAAGTGTTACTGCAAGCATAGAAAAGCCTGGCATCAATGAATGGATTATGAATGTACTGTAGCTGTGTTTGCATAATTCCTTGTGATTTATTATAGTTTACTCAAATCATCTTAGCATTCCTGAATTCAGTTAATATTTTCATATAGGAACCTTAATGGATCCTCAGAGTGTTCTTGATATTTCACGCTGACCTTTATTTTTGTTTACTAAAAGATTTCCATCTGTATTCGGAGCAGTGCTACAGGATATAAAACTGAAGACTGAGCAAGAGTAAAAACACTGCAGGTCTAGATCTCGAGTAAATAAATAATTGTAGGATATTTTAAAGTGAGTTACTAAAAAATGAAGGATACTACAATGTTACTGTGACATTCACTACTAATTGCACCAGCTCTGCTCTAATATTCACAGGCAAAGTGAATATTAGAACTTGGATGTTATCCTGTGTCCTAAACAACACTGCAGCTCTGGTGGTTCGGAAGGGAGGTTGCTGGCTGTGAGAGATGAAACATTTGCACTGATCTTTGTGTATTTTATCTCCGCAGGTTCAACTAACCTTTAACAAACACTCTGAGCACTACTCGACACTCTACACATGCAACCGAACTGACTCAGACACAGATGATGCAAATACCAGGCCTTCAAAAACAAAGAAACTACTGCCTAAATTTCATTACACAGTCTCATCCTTCTCTTTCAAAATTATTGACTTTGTAAATCCCCTATGTGTTTTGTATCTACAATAATTTATCATTATAACTGCTATGAAAGGTTGAAGGGAGCTTAAAATAAGCTGCAATCTCAAGATATTGCTGTGCATAAATATTTTAAAAAGATAAAGGCATCTAGCATTTAAAAGAGAGATAATTAAAAGAGAAAACTCGTCATACTTCCGAGCTCTCAGTCAGATCCTCTTTGTCTTTGCGTTTTGGGATGTCAATGGCTGAGTTGAGGATGATGCCTTGATCAGACATCGGTGGTTTCGAAAAGTCTTTGACCTCTCGCTCTGTCACCTGCAAAAGAATGCCCACTAATCTACAAGTGTCTCATGATTCAATGACAAAATAAACTGTGACTCCAAAGTGATGGATATTTGAGTAATAAGCCACGAGAGGCTGTGCATTACAGTCATAGTTAATTTAACCCTGGATAACCAACATAACACAACTGTTTAATAAATAGTTCTTAATTTTTTATTAAAATATAATAAAGTATGATTTAATGATATTTATAATAATATAATAAAGTAATACAAAATATGTATAATAATATAATACATTAATAAAACATATAATAATATAATAAATTAATATAAAATTATCTCTAAATTTATAAATTATTATTATTATTATTATATGTGTTACAATTATTGTAATAAACATTAAAATGTATAAAAAAAAGACATTGATCTATGAACCCAGGTAGGCATTGTAATAAAATAAGACAAAGAAGCATTACCTCCTTAGGAGCAATGGGCCACTTGGGCTCATACTTGTCTTGGCTGTGGAGATCCATATTGGTCCCAGAAGAACATTTTTCAGTGTTGAGGGTGTGAGTGGTTTTACCAACCAGGTTCTGCACTGACTTCACCATGTTCTTTAGGTCTTCTGGGTAAGGGGTGGGATAGCGCTTCAAATTAATCTCAACCTGCAGATAGAGGGAAGATATGGAAGTTTTTTCCTAACAAAATTACAATGAAAATTCAAATGCCTAAAAGGATCAAATAACAAATCAAATTCTCAAAACAACTGCTCTAGGGCAGGTGCAACGCTTAGGTGCCACGGGATGCGCACTCCATTACGGATTAAAAGAAGGGAATAAAATATAAGGTACGGTGGCAAATAGGTAAATAAGTGTAGAATTGCACTGTTTGCTCTGTTTACTCATGCGCATGAATCGGAGTGTAAACAGTGAGAGATCTTTAGGCAGGTGAAAAGAGTTTGGTAAATGGTGAATATTGTGCTTTTGTGGCTCCCGCTGGTAACAGGACTCGCTGCATTTGGGGTATAAGTAAAGAAATTGTATATTGTATAAGGTGCCAAAACAATAGAAGGAGACCCAGATTGCACTGTATGTTTGTTCACACACATCTATCAGATTGTTCAGGTGGATGCTGCACACTGGTGGTGGATGAGGAGATACCCCCTGACAAATGCAACTATAATATGTGTTTATATTTGGACTATTTTAGATTAGCGGGACGCCAACCGCTGCGGAGTAGGCCAGTACTTGTGTGACTCATCATATACATACACAGAGTGAAGTAGCTCTGGCTTTACAAAAATTGCATATTGTACCTTTAAATTTGGCATGCCTAAAAAGCTTCAGGATCCTCATACCCATGTTTAAAATCCTCAACAGCTTCAAATGTGGCTCGCCCAATCAAAATTCAGAGTCTGATGAGGAGATACCCCCTGACAATGTAAAGCGCTTTGAGTGCCTAGAAAAGTGCTATATAAATGTAATGAATTATTATTATTATTATTCAGTTGTGGCAGGCCTTGGTGGCAGCTCCCCCTGCCACGCAAAGATTTCCCTCACTTGTGCTTGTCGCGTCTCAAAGCTCCGCCCACGCTACTTGATTGACACTTCTCATTTGCATTTGATTTATTATTTGCGATGTCCATTTGAGCATTTGATTCGCCTTTTTCGGTTTCCGTTTAAACATTTGATTTATAATTTGAGTATTTGATTTATCATTTGCAATGTCCGATTGAGCATTTGATTTGCCATTTGCGATGTTTGGTTTGAGCATTCGATTTATAATTTGAGCATCTGATTTACCATTTGCGAGGTCCATTTGAGCATTTGAGCACTGGATTATAGATTTAATTATGACAGGTTTATACTGGGTTGATAATGAAAATTAAATATCAAATACAAATGATTTTTTATTTGATTTTTGATACAGTTCCTGCTTCCCCCGTATTAGGAAATGAAATTGCATTTGACCATTTGATTTCTCATTTGAGAAGCCATTTTGAGAGTTTCATTTATTATTTGAGCATTTGATTTATCATTTTAATTTTATTAGGAAATAACTTCTATAGGAAGAGCATTTAGCCCATATGGCAAAGATATGACCTTTTCTGATGCTTAAAGTTTTTTTTTTTTTTTCATAAATCCCAGCTAACCAAACACAGCAGTGGCCCTGGTTACATCTGATATTAACATCTGTGATCAGATCACCAGAGATGGATGTTAATACCAGGTAAATACAGGGCCAAAAAGGTTCGCATTTTCAATTCTTAAAGGGACCTTCACTTTTCCTGAGTTGTCCTCTTCTTCCTTCTTGTCCTCAAACTCAAATGCCACTGTCATCCTCTGCTGTCTCTGTTCCTCCCAGAGAGTGGGATTAAAGCTGTCACTGTCAGACTGGTAATCTGCAGCATGGAAAACACATGTCCATCCAGTTTAAATCCAGTAAAATCAAAGAAAAGAGAAACGGTTTATTTATTCTTACCCTCATCGTGCCGGGGCTGCTGAGGAAACATGTAGTTGGTCAAGACTCTCTGTTTGGTCTCAGGGTGAGCCTCTGTTTGAAGGGGGATAAGGGCCTTGGACTGAATAACAAAAAGAATTGTTGTAAATACAACTATTCAATGACAGCACTGTGTTAAAGGGGTCATATGATGCGATTTCAAGTTTTCCTTTCTCTTTGGAGTGTTACAAGCTGATTGTGCATAGATAAGATCCCTGAAGTTGCAAAGACTAAAGTCTCAAAACCAAAGAGATATTCTTTATCAAAGTTAATGATCTTTAAAAAAGCATCATATGACCCCTTTAACTGTTCATGCAATGTGGTTAAAAAGTGGTCCAAATACTGTGTAGTTAAGACTTTGTACACAATTTAAAAAGGAGTTCCAGATAACAACCTGATTGTCAGATAACCAGAGTGCAGCAAGATCTTTCAATTTAGTGAAAGTGAAGGGAAGATTCTTTAACCTAAAACGGAACATAAACGATTAGTTCATGAGAATTTAGAAAGGCAAAACATGTATGGCAAAAGTCAAATGAGACTGTTGGAGAGAGTTATTTGGTGTAGTTAAAATGTTATGAAGACCTGTGGTGATTCTGTACACTTACTATACAGGTATACTAGATACTCTTAATGGCTATGCCGCGTTTAGTCTTGGTTAAGTTTAATTACTCTGCTTCCAGATAATCGCAGTCAGAGCATCGAAACTGTCCACACAGCTCATAAAGAGCTTTCTTAATTAACCTGTGGGAACGCCAGGCACTTTTCTGATGTCATGCCCCATTACTGTGCCATTATGGAAAATAATAAACAGCATCCTCACAGCTTTACACAAACCGATTGGGACTGTTCATCAAACCTATAAGATATTTGAAGAGGCACTTTCTAAACTTTAAGCAAATATCATCTAATCTTTTATTCATTAAACAATTTTGCAGATCATGTGTTGGTGTGAATGTTGACAAATGCGTGCACAGGGTGTAAAATGAAAGAAAAACAAAAACACTACAGGAACATCTGGTGTTACCTATTGTCACTTAGATTGAGAACACGTAGCTTTGTCATCTGTCCAATCTCATCAGGCAGAAACTCCAGTTTATTGGAGCGCAAGGACATGACTGTGACATTCTTGCAGTTTCCAATCTGCAGCACAGGACAGGATATGATAGCTCTGGTAAGGTGCAATTTTGTCAGCTTTTTTTTTTTGTTGAATATCAGCATTCTATCTTTCTCTCAGGTAAACTGACTCTTGTATTCTGTCAATACAGCAAGTGAAGGTCAGCAGGACATTACCATGCATTTGGTTTTACAGATTTAGGCTGTCCTGTATTCAGCCACTTGAGTGGATCTCAAAATGTGGTAGCAAAAATATATATATCCTGTATTATTTTATAGTTTATAGTTTAATAAAGTTTTGTGTGTTGCACAACAAACATTGTTACTTTTGGATTCTGGGCAGCCAATATACTACTCTTTGAAAGTTTGGGGTTAGTATTTTAGTATTTTTTTTTTAAAGAAAGTAATACTTTTCTCCCAGCACAGATGCATTACATTGATCAAAAGTGAGTAAAGTCATTTATAATGTTACAAAAGATTTCTATTTCAAATAAATGCTGTTCTTCAGTCATAGAATCCTGAAATAAATATGCCCATATATCATGGGTTCCACAAAAATATTAAGTAGCACAATTTTTTTTCAATGCTGAAAATAATAAGAAATGTTTCTTGAGCACCAAATCAACATATTAGAATGATTTCTGAAGGATCATGTGACACTGGAGTAATAGCTGCTGAAAATTTATCTTCTCATTAAAATTGTAATAATAGTTCACAATATTACTGTTTTTTGTTTTTGTTTTTATTAAATAAATGCAGCCTTCATGAGCATAAGGGACTTCTTTCAAAACCCCCAAACTTCTGAATGGCAGATTAAGTGTTAAACTATTTTTCTATCAATATAAAAGCTATTAAGATATGAAGGTTTTACATATTCATATCAAATCTATAAGACCCCAAAGTTTTAAAGGGTAGCTGAAAAAGTGGCTTTGTTGACAAGTAATTTCTGTGCCCTGTTAAAAAAAAAAATTGTTTTATTGTTGTAGACCAGCTTGAACATACCTAAATGTCCTTAAACTTGTTATTTAAACTGGCAACCAATGTAAACCAACTTTGCTGGTCTAGGATGTATTTTCAGAACAAAGAGAGGTAAATTATATAGAGAACGTGACTTTGATTTCCCTTATTAATTCTGTAGAAAGTGCATAACACTAAAACTCACCTCCCTGGGCAGCTCAGTCAAGAAGTTCTCATCGGCCGCAAATGTCCGAAGACTGTGCAGGTAGCCAACGGTGGGAGGCAGGGATTCCAGTTCATTACAGCTACAGTCAAACTCCTCTAAAAGTGATAAACTGGCAGATGTAAGAGAAAGCACGTGAGGAGTGTGCAGTTATGCAGGGTCGCTTAATCCCTTTTGATAGTTTATTGAAAACACTTCATGAGATGATAAGATAAATGTATACATCATGTGACGTCTCTTTAAAGGTCAGCAGATAAATAAATAATTGCCTCTACCATAGTGAATAACTCTTCTTTAAAAAAGTTTAGAGTGTAGGTTAAATTGCAGGCTTAACCAAAGTCTTAAAGGAATAGTTTGCTTATTTTTTTGCTCACCCTCATGTCATTCCAAGCCCATATGTTTTTCTTTTTGTACACTCATTTTCATATAATGAAAGTGAATGAAGGTACAGGCTGTCAAGCTTCAAAAAAGCATCATAAATGTAGTTCATAATAATCTTTGCACTATTTTCCAAGTCATCTAAAGCCATACGAAAGTTTTGTGTGAGGAACACACCTAAGCTGATTATTTACAGAAAAAATTTGCTCTAAAAGCATATATAGCGCCATCAGCATCAATGATAATTCCAGAGGAAGATAAATAAGTTTTCACAAGTAATCATACACTGTAAGAAAATAAAGAAATAAATAGAAACAGAAAAGATACTGGTAATTTTCTGCTAGGGCATTATCTGTTAAGTAGGGCTGCCCTCGATTAAAGATTTTTCTAGTTGACTAGTAGTCGTTCATTTTTAGCAATTAGTCGACTATTTGCATGTTTATATTAATAAACCATATAATTCATAATAATGAGCCTTTAATTGCCTATAGCCTATCAGTGCTCAAGCGCACACATAAAACTTGCAACAGCACACCGGCAGAAGTAATGATTATGAATGCGTCAGGGAAAAACAGCAAGAAGACTGCCTTAATATTATTCAATGATAAACTAGTGTTTTCTGTATTTTCGGCTGCAGTGATGAAGTCAACGACACTGACTCATCATCTCCACAGAGAATGTGCATGTTTCATACGGATTACATAATCTGAAATTATTTGTTTTCCATTTGAATTGGTTAATTTAAAAGTAGACATTTCACTTTCTATAGCTATATTTTTTATGTCTGTGAAGCAAGCACAGAGCTTCAGCTAATTTTTTTGACATGCTCAAGTTCACAGAGACCTAGATGGCAAAAAGCACACACTTCATTATTTTACAAAAGCACAACATTTTGTTGTTATTGTGAGTGCACACACAAAAAAGTAAACCTTTTACAAATTCGAAAGATGTATTACTCCATATGAGCAAAAATGACAGAGTATTTTAAGTTAAATGCAAATGATCACACTGGCTCCTAGTTAACTGTCATGCAGTGAGCGCGCTACTATTAGCTTCCACACTCCGCACAAACACTTGTAATGCACAACACACTTGTAAACACTCTGCACAGTACACTTGTAAAACCATGTAATGTTGCTAATGTTGTTTTTTTCTGCGACTAAGCGACTAATATAATTTTGATCGACTAAGCCTCTTCTGGTCGACTAACGGTTAGTCGACTATTAGGGGGCAACCCTACTGTTAAAGGGGTCATATGATGCGATTTCAAGTTTTCCTTTCTCTTTGGAGTGTTACTAGCTGTTCGTGCATAGATAAGATCCCTGAAGTTGCAAAGACTAAAGTCTCAAAACCAAAGAGATATTCTTTATCAAAGTTAAGA